TCACACCTAGAGGTGCATGTGCTGTGTATGGAGGGAGCGTGTGTGCAGGACCCCAGTAACTCCTGCAGCCCTTTTTATTTATTTTGAGACAGGATCTTGCTGAGTTGCCCCAGGCTGGGCTCCAATTAGCCATTCTCCTGCCTCAGCCTCCAGGAGCACTGGGATTTCAGGCATGCACCACCATGCCCAGCTAAAAGCACATTGTCCAGGCTCTACCTTGCTGCAGGTGATTACCGTCCTCTCAGGCAGGTGGAGGAGTGTGGCCCAAGAGCAGTCTGTCCCTTGCTTGAGCTTTGTCTGTGTGCCATCCCGTGTGTGGTTGCAGGGGAAAGGGCCGGGGCAGAGTTCTGGCATTTTCCCACAACCCTGACCTCGCCCAGCTAGTTTGCAGCTGGGCCCACAGCAGGCGGTGCACGATCAGTGAATGTGCACCCATCCTGTCCAGAGTGTGGCACTGTTTCCCCACTCTGTGCGTCTTACACTGCACCGTGATTCTCTCGACCCTGTCCTCAGGCTCTGTGCAACGCACACATCACGGAGGCTGTGTCACTGACACCGGAAGTGCTGACCTCATGTACATTACTTATCCTTCCCATCCGGTCTGCTGGTCTGGAAGAAGAGGGGAGACCCAGACACTCCCTGTGGGGTGGCCCCCGTGCCTAGGGTGCCCTGGGCTGCGATGAAGGGGACTAGGTCCTAGGTACCAAAGCAACACTCTGGGAAACATGACCGTGCTCTGTCCACGCACCTGGGCTCCAAGAGCACTTTTGGAGGACCTGCTGTCTTCCTTCAGCAAGCCCCACTGCCCAGGGAGCCTGGGACAAACGAAGACGGAGTTGGGAGGCTGCAGTGGGGCTGGGTCCAAAAGCGCTGAAGTGCCCGGACACCCGTGGCCGGGGCTCACAGGAGCGCTCCGCACCCCGCCTCACAGAGATGGCTCTCTGACTCCCCCTGGTGACCGCATCCCGCCAGTGCCCTTTCGGCCCATGGACTGTCCTGTCCTGACGTGGGGGCTTGTGCCACGCTGAGGTTTCCACGTCCCGTGAGGCTGGAAGGGCTGGTGCGAACGTATCACCCAGCCCAGGTCCTTCAGATAGGAGAGTGGACACCCGGGGAGGATAGGACTTGGCAGAGCCTGCGGCAGGAGTGCAGCCGCCGCCAGCTCAGCGCAGGTGACCTCCGACCCTGGGGCCCTCCCTGCCCCGCCCCCCACAGAGACCAGCCTCGGTTCCTGCTGCAGCCTCACCCACTCCGTGCCTGTGGCGCTCGGCTGACTGATGTGATAGGTGGATGCTGCCCCAGGGGCTGCAGCAGAGCCAGGCCCCTGTCCAGGTGCTGCACGAGGGACCCCTTGCTGAAGCTGCCAGGGCTCTCCCCGAAGCCTCCATAGATGGGGCCATTCCACGAGCTTCCCTCTCTCCGATGTCCCCCACGATCCCTCAGCAGGTCCGCGGAGACGTCTCCCCATGCTGTGCAGCTAGGTGGGCACCAAGGGTGTGTGCCTGCCTCCGCTGGGAGCATGCACTGGCCAGGGCCTCCCTGCAGAAAGCGCTCTTTGGCCACGTGTACACCCTGGGATGGGCTGGACAGAGCACCCAGATGTGCAATGTTTTGTTTTTTGATTTTTTTGAGACAGGACTCGCTATGCAGTCCCAGCTGGCTTTGAGCTTCCAATGTAGCTGATACTAGCAATCCTCCTGCCTCAGCCTCCCAAGTGCTCAATGCAGGGTCTCAGTTGCTGTTAGACAGTGATAGTGGTGCCCATGAGGTGGCTGTGTATCTGGCAGCTGTGCCATGACTGCAGGTGGCCAGCAGGTGGGAAAGGGCAGCGGGCCTGAGGCTCCCTCCTTGCTGCCCCCAGGGGTTCTTCCTCTCCACTCCAGCCATCTCTCCCCTCTGGGGGACTGACAGACAGGGGCCACACACTTTGGGGCCCATGAGCAGACACAGCTGACTCTGCCTCCTGTTACTACCTCCTTGGCCCTTTGCCTTCTCCATGAAGCCCCCACCACTCTTCCCACTCCTGTGGACTCAACGTGCTTTGTGCTTTGTTTTATTATTTTTATTATTATTTTTTTTTTTTGCGGTACCGGGGATCAAACTCACGACCTCGCGCTTGCCAGGCAGGCGCTTCTACCACTGAGCCGTATCCCCAGCCCTGCTTTGTGCTTTGTGTCTGGACCACTCAGCCAGCCCCACTGAAGGAGGCACCGCTCCTCCCCCAACCCCAGAGCTGCAGTGTTCATGGTGAGGGTCTGCACTAGGCCCAAGGGCAGCGCCAGGCGTGGGCAGCCCTGCCTTACACGCCCCTTGCACTGCCAAGTGCACTGGATACTGACTTCGCCAGGAGGGGTGTGGGGCGGAGGCTCCTGGCACAGGCCGCCCCACCCTCTAGTGAGCTCTGGAGGACGGCCCTGGCCCTCGGCTTCAGCAGTGGCCGCTCCACGTGGCAGCCTCCACCCCCGGGCCAGGGCCCAGCCGGGGACGAGCCCAGTGGGGGTGCTATGTACGGGACCCCAACTCTCATCCCACATGCACCCCTCTAGACCTGCATGGCCAGTGAACAGCATGTCAGTCACACCTGGAGTTTTACATTTCCTAGCAGTTACATTTTAAAAAGAAGTGAAATATTTTTTTGGTACCAGGAATTGAACTCATGACCTCATACTTGCCAGGCAGACACTGTGCTGCTGAGCTACATGCCCAGCCAAGACATTTTCTTGAGACCGGGTCTTGCTATATCATTCAGGCTGGCCTCAAAATTGCCGTGATCCTCCTGCCTCAGCCTCCTGAATGCTGGAGTTATAGGTAGTGCCACCCACCCCACCCAACTGTGTATTTTATTTAAATCAAAAGATTTTTAACATGCAGTAACAAACAGCCAGTGAGACACTGTACATTTGGGACCCAGCTCAGTATGGACCAGTCTCACACCAGGCCCAGTGGCCACCACACTGGACGGTGCTCACAGCCCAACTCCTGCCACAGACTGGATGGACCTGAGCTGGTCCTGTGGGCTCTGTCCAGGTTCTGACTCTGACCCACCTGGGGGCTGCAGGGAGGTAGAGACACCTGGGCTCAGCCTCCCAGCACACGGTTGGGCGAGAGACTGAGAAGAGGGCAGGCAGGGGCACTGACAGCCATGGTGGGCAGTCACTCCTAGGCACAGGACCCTGGTGCTCCGCAGCTGGTCACCCCACACCCCATCTGCCCTGACAGTCCTGGCTCACATCCACTGGCCCGGCATAGGTATGGACAGCACCTCATTTTGGTGCCTACATTTACCTACTGTGGGCTCTGCTTCACCTTAAGAGATGGCCTGATGCTAAGGGTGTCAAGGAGATCAACGAAGGGCACGCAGCATGTAGGTGGCAAGCTGGATCTCAGAGGGGTTGTGACTCCAGGGCCTTGGCCACACGCCACAGAGGCCCAATCAACTCAGCAGGGTGCCGGGCTACAGAGAGGACCATCTGCCCTCAAGAAAAGGGGAGGGAAGAGAGAGTAGCCCCGAGGCCTCTGCAGGGACCAGGCAAAAGTTAAACCAGGTGCCTTTCTAATATCTCTTCCCTGAGGGTCCCGGCCTGGGACACAGACCTGTCCTTCACCCCAGGGCAGGGCCAGACTGCCTCTTCAGGTTACAGTCACCAGGGCAGGACCCCAGTCTTGTTGGGAACCAGGGGCCAGGCCTGAGCTCCACTGTAGAGCTCTTCCGAGAGTCACTGGAGAAAGAAGAGGAGTGCACCCTGATGCTTTGCCTCTGTGTCCCCTTCTTTTGACACGGCAGATAATGACAGCTGTGCAGGGGGGGCCTAATGGGACAGAGACTGCAAAGCTCCTTGACCACAGGAGGATGTGGTCCTGGCAGTGGGCCGTCCATTGCTGGGCTGCCTATCCTAAGTGGACTAGGGCCGAGGCTGTCACGTGCTCCTCAAGCCTGTGTTCAAACACATCGGGAGCCTGCCTCCTGCAAGGCAAATGTTAGCTTAGCGAAAAGCCCAGGTGCCACGTCAGACGGGCTCTGCCGGTGAGGCTGCGCCCTTGTCAGCGCCACCAAGACAAGCAGCAAGACCAAGCACCCTACTCTATCTGCAGGTACACCGGGGACCTGGCGGCCTCCCGACGTGCCGCCTCGGCGCCCCAGGAAGGAGCTAGGGGCTGCTCTGCCTCGGCCTCCCGGGCAGCGGTGCAGAGGACAGCACCCCTCTCTTTCCGAAGCCCTTACCCAGGCCGGCGCTGGATACAAGGGTGGCGATGGGAGGGAGGGGCAGCGGCGGACGGCCAGCTCGGTGCCCTCGCCGTGTCACCGCTGCCCGGTGGGGACTATGAGCACCCTACTGCAGGGAACCGCGGAACGGCTGGGTCCCACGCTCGGCGAGCGGGCTGCAGCCTGGGCCAGCTGGGAGGACCCGACGCTGGGGGCCGGGATGGCAGCGGCGAGACTCAGGGCTCCAGCCGCCGGCGCCGCTCGCGGTAACCAGGCAACCAGCGCAGGGCGTGCGCGTGCGCAATCCCCCCTGTCGCCCGAGCGGCAGCAATGGCGCATGCGCAGCCGCCCCGCCGGCCTCCAGCCAAGCCTAAACCGAGTCAGGTAGGGACTCGCCAGACCCATGGCCTGCTTGCGGAGCATCCGTTCTCGGGGGGTGGAGCTGCTCAGGTCGATCCTTCAAAGCCGATTCCCTCTTGGTGTCATGACTGAAGATTCCTGTCCCTTTTGACATCCTAAAACGACAGAAGAGTGGGAGACAGCGTAACCAGGGCGACGTCCCGGGGCGCCCTCGGCGCAGGTGGGCGAGGGGCGGGGCCAAGGGGTGGAGAGGCTGGGGCGGGGCCAAGGTCGTGACGAGGCGGTGGAGGACTGGACCGGGTTGGGGGCGGGGATAAGGGGCGGGGCTAGGGAAATAGAGCCGTGAATGACACACGGGAGGCGGGACAAAGGGGCGAGGCCGTGAAAGACTGGATGACGGCGAGGGGCGGGGCGCGCTGAGGGGCGGGGCGCGTGACGTCCCCGCCGGACACGTCGGCGGCGCGGCTAGCGGAGCCGGATGTGCCAAGATGGCTGCGGAGGTTTCCGTGTCTGCGCTGTTCGCCGCTGCCGGGTGGGCTCCGACCCGCGGAGCCTGAGAGGCGGGCCACAGCCGCGCGGGTGAGGGGCGAGCGG